GGGTCATGCAGCAGCTGCCCTCTTGTGTCTGGCTTGTTTCATTCAGCACAGCGTCTTCAAGGTTCACCCATGTGGCCTGTGCAGGTTCCCTTCCTTTTTAATGCTTAATTAAACATGAGTTGTAGAAAGTGATCTCTTATCAATATCAAAAAAATCTACCAGGTTCCTTCCTGGTGGCACAAGGGTTTAAAGCGCAGCACTATGAAGCTGTCCGCAGCCACTGCAGCACAAGTTCGATCCCAGGCAGGGAGCTGACCCACATGGCGCGGCAGACCTCTCCTGACCACCTGCTGCTCCCCTCAGCAGCATATTTCAGTGGATCTGCTGGTTCAGCTCCCCACTCTGTCTCTGGTGAATCCTCTCACCCTTTGTACCTCTGGCCTACACCCCAGCTCTTGTATACATAAATAAATAAATCTTTTTTAAAAAAATCCGTCAATACAAAAAAGCACGTAGAGAAAGGATAGCAGCCAGTCCTTTCCCCAAAGGCAACTGCCTCCAGCATCCCTTAGGGGGTGCCCCAATGGCTGGTTACCACCGAGACCTCGTGGGCACAAACAGTGCTACTCAATGTATCTGGTGCTGGCACAGGGCCAGTTCTGTGGGGGGCGGCTCGATGGTCACAACCCCACCTGCCACGTTGCCTGGACCCCGGTCGGGCGGTCTCCTACGCACTGTGTCTGTATACATTCCTAGACACACACCCGTGAGTCACTGCTCCCTCCAGGTCATGTACACAGCAGCCGCCCTCCACTCCTGCAGGCTTTCCTGCACTGCCCCCTGCTCCTGGGTTTCCTGTGCACCAAGGGCATCCTGGGTCACATGTCACTGGGAGACACTGGCGTGGGGCTGAACATGTTAGTGTAGGTGGAGATGGCTCAGAAGTGCGGGAGAGGGCACATGCCCCAGCTGGAGCTCTCGGCCTCATGACCCAGGCTGGGGGGCAGGGACCCGGCACCTCGGCCTCCATGAGTTACTTACTGCCTTTGTCCAGCAGGACTGCTCAGTCACTTCCTGGCTCGACCCTGTATCCCCAAGTGTGTGACAAGATTAGGTCTTTCTGCTCCGGACATGGCCAGATCAACCCTTCTGCCATGCCTCGCTCATCTCTTCTCCCCACCCCCACCAGCCCAAGGAGCCCTGCTGTTCCCAGTCCCTCCCCTGGCCCAGGCCTGACCACACAGGACAAAGGACCCCCAGAGTAGGGCTCCCCTGAGCAGGACGGCTAAGTCCTCTCTGAGGTCGGGAGGAGCTTCAGAGGGACTGCGTTTAGGATAGAGAAGGAGCCTGTTTCTTCATGTAACAGCAGCCGCCCTCTGAGTGGCCGACACAGAGGTGACTTAGGGGTCCTTCTGACCTGGGTGCACCCGACCCCCCAGTCTGGGCTAGACGTGACATGACCACAGCCCCTGGTCACACCTGGGATCCTCATTTGAGGGTGGAGCCAGGGCACGAGGGAAGGGGTATGAGAAGGGGGAAGAGGCACCTCCCAGCAGGAGCTCCCCTCAGCTGCCCAGGGCAGTTCATGGCCGAGGGACTCTGGCTGAGGGCTGAGGCCCCTCAACTAGCATCAGCTGATCCCAAGCTGTCTGGGTTCCTACCCTCTCGGCCCACGGGACAGTGCGGGGCTTGGGTGAGGCAGCAATAAGGCAAAGCAGCTCCACAGGGGCCCTGGAGAATTCCACTGTGGTGGAAGTGTGGGAACTCATGCACCTGACTTCTGACCTGGGGAGGGAGGGCGCTCCTGCTTGCCAGAGCAACAAGGTGAGGGGAAGCTCCCGGAGGACCAGGAGCCCCCAGTGGAGGACATGACCAGGACAGCTGGGTTCTCTGGTCAGCAGGAAGCAGCCACTCGTCCAACAGAGGCTTCCTGAACTGGATGGGGACAGAGGAAAGGGGCTGCTGCCTGCAACATTCTCCCTCATCTTGCTGGCCCAGTGCTACCCCCAAGAGACACCTCTGGCAAAGCGAGTGACCCTGGCCAGCCCCCGGCCTCCTCAGGCCGTGCTGCAAGCCTCCCTTGGCTCGCTGGGAGCAGGGGTGTGCCTTCCTGGTTTATCTCACCCAGGCTGTGACTCCTCCCCAGACACTCAGGAACCGGGGGTGGGGGGGGTGTCTAACCAGGCAGGAAGCCCAGGTCACAGATGTGTCCAGAGCTGCTTGTCCAGCACCAGCAGCATGCGGGGGCTCCTGCTGCCGTGGCTCTTGGCGCTGGGCCTGGCAAGTGGTCTCCAACCCCACAGCATCTACGACGAGGGTGGGAGTACAGGGGGAGACTCTGGTGAGTGATCCCGGGTCCTGCCACCGGGACTGGGGGTGGAGGGGGAAATCAGGGAGCAGGACGGGGCCCAGACCTGGGATGGAGAGATGGAGCCGAAGGAAAGGCCCAGCACCTGGGCTTGAGCCCATGGGGCTAGAGGCATCTTTGTCTAGTTCTGTCCCACCTGACAAGGAACTCCTGAGAAATGAACCCAGCCTGCAGCCCCTTGGGAAGGACCAGCTGAGACCCAGGCTCAGGTTGACCCTGAGCCTCCTGGGTCAACCCCTTCCCTCCAACCCCTTCCCTCCTCCAGACAGCACACCAGAGCCCTGGGACCAAGGGGTACATCCCGGCCTGCGCAGCTTCCCCGGTAAGCCCTGCACCAATGACAGTGACAGCCTGGACCTGCCTGACAGCTCTCGGGCGCTGCTGCTGGGCTGGGTGCCCACCATGCTGGTGCCCGGGCTCTATGGCCTGGTCTTGGCAGTGGGGCTGCCCGCCAACGGCCTGGCGCTGTGGGTGCTGGCCACGCGGGTGCCGAGGCTGCCCTCCACGGTGATGCTGATGAACCTGGCCGCTGCAGACCTGCTGCTGGCCCTGGCGCTGCCCCTGCGCTTGGTCTACCACCTGCGGGGCCAGCGGTGGCCCTTCGGCGAGGCTGTCTGCCGCCTGGCCACAGCGGCACTCTACAGCCACATGTATTGCTCTGTCCTGCTGCTGGCCGCCATCAGCCTGGACCGCTACCTGGCCGTGGTGCACCCGCTGCGGTCCCGAGGCCTTCGAAGCCAACGTCTGGCCGCCGGGTTCTGTGCGGCAGCCTGGCTGGTGGCGTTCACCCTGACGCTGCCCCTGCTGCTGCAGCGGCAGACCTTCCTCCTGTCCAGCTCCAACCACATGCTCTGCCATGACGTGCTGCCCCTGGGCGACCAGGCCACCTACTGGCGGCCGGCCTTCATCTGCCTAGCTGTGCTGGGCTGCTTCCTGCCGCTGCTGTTCATGCTTCTGGGCTATGGGGCCATCCTGTGCGTGCTGGCCGCCAGTGGACAACGCTACCACCACGCGCTGCGGCTGACCGGACTGGTACTGGCCTCTGCGGTGGCCTTCTTCACGCCCAGCAACGTGCTGCTGCTGCTGCACTACTCCAACCCGGGTCCAGACGCCTGGGGGGAACTGTATGCCGCCTACATGCCCAGCCTGGCGCTCAGCGCCCTCAACAGCTGTGTGGATCCCTTCGTCTACTACTACGTGTCAGCCGAGTTCAGGGCCAGGGTGCGGGAAGGACTGCTCCGCCGGCCACCTGGTGCCAGCTCAACCTCCCGGGAAGGGGGCAGCCCCATGATGGGCACCCGGTCCTCCTCACTCGTGTGACCACCCCGCAGAAGGTAGGGTGTGCAGGGAGGGGACTGAATGGGGTCGAATAGCCACTCACCCTAATTTGTGTCCACGGGGAACATACCTCAGAGAAGATGGGCCCTAAATCTGTCCTTATGAGGACCCAGGATACATGTCATGTGGTGACGGAGGCAGAGGTGGGGGTGAAGCAACCCTGGGCCCAGAAATGACTGCTGACAACTCCAGACGCTGGGAAAAGGCTGGCCAGATTTTCCCTCCAGATTTCTGGAAGGACTAGACACCCACCTCCATCTCCTCATTCCCAGAGGCCCAGATCCCAGCTTTCTGGGGTGGGTTCCGGGTATTGCAGCATCTCCTGAACAATCAGAACGGCGCTGTCCAAAGCTTGACACAGCACCTCCCCGCCGCCAACCCCCCCCCCACCCCGGAGCTCAGTGTCCTGCTGTCTCCTTGGCTGCAAGGCAGCCCCTGTCCCCACCCGAGGTCTGACTTCTGACTTCCTGCGGGTCAGGTGGGCGGGCAATGGGGGGGCAATCCAAAGATGAGCTCTGCAGATCTTCAAACCCCAGGGTTTGTGGTGTGCTGAGTCCAGCCGTGTCTGTGGAAGGTAGTGCGGCATCCCCCCAACATACTCACCCCCCCACCCCACCCCGGGAAGCAGCATGGAGTGCTGGTGCGAGCCACGGAGACGTAGACTGAAACAGCTGCTGCACTGTGGAGAAGGGAGAGCAGGCTGCCCAGAGGGGCAGGGCGCTGGTCCTACAGGTGTGTTGCAGGGGGGTGGGGGGGAGAGCTGCAGGGTGGAGACCTGCCCTGGGCGGGCTCCAGAGGCAGGAAGCATCTAAAAATACTCAGGGCTTCCTTGAGGGGGGCTGTCCATGCCAAATGATCCAGGACTCCTGTGGTGTAAGGGCCCTTGGAGTAATTTGGGGTGTAATCTGAGGACTCAGTGCACCTGGGGGTACCCCCATGGAAGGCCAGGGTTTGGAGAAAAGTTGCCTGTTTTGTTTAAAATGTTGCTGGTGGGTGGATAACACCTCCTGGCTGCGGCTCATGTCATTGGCCCCCCTCAGAAAGGGGCCCTCCTGGAATGTCCCTGCATTCAGGAGAAAAACATCAGGCTCAGGAGCTGCTGTGGCCCAAAGAGAGGGGACAGCCAGCCCTGGGACTGGGGACAGGGTGCCTATAGCTCCAGCGGCAGCTGGGTGGGGGCGGTGCTCCCAGGGGCCCACCATAAGGCAGATCTCTGCATTCTGGGTTCACTTGGAGGCAGGGGTCACCTGAAGGTGATCTGCTAGGCAGGTCCCCATCAGCAGCCCCCTCCAGGACAGGGGAAAGCAATCAGTAAGCGCCCCTGGCAGCCCTGTCCCAGGCCCCCGGCCCTGGCTGAGCACTACCCCTGCTTCTGCCTCGCCTGCACCATGCAGCCACCCCTCCAGCCGGGATCTGAGTCTCTGACATAAACCCTCACTTAGACCTTTGCTCTAGCCCTTCTCCTTACCCTGGAGCCCAGCAGGGTCCAGCCTCCCTCCCCTCAGCTCCCCAACCCGCCCCCAGACTTCCTCAGCCTGGAACTAGTCTCTCCTGTGGTGTGAGTAAGTGTTGTGGGAGGGCTAGAGACAACCTAGGAAGGGGCGAACATGCCCACAGAAGCCCTCCTGGCCTGGGGACAGTGGAGGTGGCCTAGTGGCCACTCACCCGCTGGGGGCACCCCCACCTCCCCACCTGCTCTAGCAAATGGCCAGCACAAGAGCACTCTGAACAAAAAAGCCACACACAACATTTATGAGGAGCTGGGAATCTGCACTGGGGTGGGGTCAGCAGCCAGAGAAGCCAGAGGCACCCCTAAACCTGCTCCGGTCTCTCCGGGTCCACCTAGGAGCTTGACAGCCCCGATGGAGGGCCCTGTGTGCAGCCATGTCCCACTGAAGGAGACAAGCCCTGGCCCTCGCACCCTGAGGTGGAATTCACACCCCTCTGACTGCCAAACCGTGCCTGATGCCTGGGGAGCCTGCCCTGGGTCTGGCTGGACAGGCCATTTGCACAAACAGCCCATTCGGCAGCTGTGCGACCTGCAGAGGAAAAGGTCTTGCCCAGGCCTCAGGCCCTGACCTGGCTCCATGGACCATGGGTCGCCATGTTTACCCTGAACCCCAACACAGGAAGGAGCTCTGCAGGCAGCCCGTTCCTCAGTACAACCACCCTGGCAGGAGAGCTGATCACGGCCCCCACCCGTGCCTCTGATCTGTCGCTGTCTGTTGATTTTTATTTTTAATTTAGTAGCTTTTTTTTTTCCTGATCCCTTACTAACAATGAAGTCTGACTACAGCAAGTCAACCCAGACTTGCTCTGGAGAGAAGCCAGGCTGCCCCACCGCACCCATTCACCAGCTGGTTGCTAAGAGTCCGGTCCAAGCTCCCTCCCTCATGGTCACCTCCTCAGGGGGGCCCACCAAGCCGGATGCTCCCGCCCCCCAGCCGCATCACCCAGTGTGAGTCGCTGGAGGCTGGAGGATGACAAGGAGGCCCCGAGGCCACCCTGACTTAGTGACCGAGTTCAGAGAAGCTGCCTCCTGGTGTCCCTCAAAGGGAAAATGCGGGATTCAACCACCGAGGAATCACTGGACTGTGGTGATGGCACCTGGGTGATTTGGTGATGGAAGTCCACGGGGATTACAACTGAGATGGAAAAAGGCACAAAATGATGTAAAAAAAAAAAACCCCTCTTATTTAAAATAATAATAATAATAAATAAAAAGTAAAAAAAAAAAAAAGCCATTGAGGAATCTGGCAAATGGGCAACGGTGTTCCTGTGGGCGTGGGTGGGTGCGTAGAGAGGAAACTGCGTCAGTGACCCCGAGAGCTCAGCGGCAGAGGGCTCTCCACGGTCCCCACCTGCAGACCAGGGCACGGCAGAGGGTGGTGGCCAGATGTAGCATGTTCTCCCTGGGGCTCTTGACAGGGCGGATTCACCGGATCCAGGCCCAATCCACCCGGCCCAGCACCTGGAGGGGCTTCAGCCATCACGGGGTACGATTCACTCACTCAAAGAGAGAACACAAACACGGGAAGAAAGTGTGTGGAGAGGGAAGCAGACACTCGGGCGATGGGCTACAAGCCAGATGTGCCAAGCCCGGACGCTGGGAGAAGCGGAAGGATCGGGCCCTGGAGCCTGCTGGGGAGTGTGGTCCTGCCGACGCCCTAACTCACACTCCCGCCTCCAGGAGAGGGAGAGAATGAATTCCTGCGTTTTCAGGGGTCTCCCTCTTCTTAACGTCAGTGAAGAAACAGGGTTCAATTCTAAAAGGTAGAACAGGGGCCCCTCACGATGGCGCAGAGGGTAAAGCACAGCACTAGGAAGCTGTCATCAGTCACTACAGCTCAAGTTCCATCCCCGGCCAGGGAGGTGACCTCTCCTGGCCCGCCCGCTGCTCCCCTCAGCAGTGTCTTTCGTCAGTCAGCCTGTTCTGTCCCCTATTCTGTCTCTGGTGGGTCCTCTCAACCCCCTGCACCTCTGGCCTGTACCCTAGTTCTGTGTGCATAAATAAATAAATCTTAAAAATATATAAATAAAAGGCAGGACAGGGTCACAGTGCTCTAAATGTGTAGTGCACTGAAACCAGAAGTGGAAGAGAAGAGAGGTCCGTCAGGGATGCCAGGGGCTCAGTGCCTCAGCCTCAGAGGTGCAGGCAGGGAGGAGGCACCCCTATTTGCCTCAGGCCAGGAGGGAAAGCTGGTGACCCCAGGGGCAGGGGCGTGAACTTGCAGCAGCTGTGTCGCTATACACCACAAGCCATGGGGCTTGAAAACAGAGATTTGAAGTCACCTGGGAGGGGCTGACGCTGTTACCAAGATCAAATGTCTTTTGGCGGATTGGTTCCTTCCAAAGGTCAGCAGGGGCATCGCCTCCCCTCTGCCTGCTGGGGGGTGGGGGGGTTGCCTATCTCAGTCCCCTGTCCCCTCTATTTAGGACGCCAGCCTACTGGGTTCCACTGCACCCAAACGACTTTGTTTTAACTCCATGTTTTGTTTAAAGTTAAGCAGACTCTCCATTGCTGGGAGTGTTTTGGGCTGGGTGTCCACACCGCCCCAAATTCATGTTACACCCCTAACCCACTGTGCGATGGTGTTGGCTGTGACCTTGGGGTGGTTAGATTTAGAGCCCCGTAACAGATGAGTCTGTATAAGGAGAGACACCATAGCTACATCCCCAGCCCATGCCCATGCGGCAAGGAAGAGCCTCAAGAGGACACAGGGGGTGTGGGAGGAGGGGGTTGTCACCCCAAGAACCAAATCAACCAGAATCTTGATCTTGGATTTCCCAGTCTCTTGAACTGAGAATAAATGTCTGTTGTTTAAGTCACACGTGGTTGCGTAGTTTGTCACAGTGGCTGAAACTAACCAAGGTGGGAGTTGGGATTTCAGGACACACATCTGGGGGAGACGGAAGTTGACCCTTCCCTACAACTCAAGGGGTCCTCCTGACAAAGAGCATGGGAGGTGGAGAGTCTTGGGCCACAGCAAACCTAGACCCTCCTGCTCCCCCTCACTCATCCCTTCTGCCCAGTTCCCAGTGCTACCCCAATGGCACAGGCCCCGCACACACCCCTGTGCCAGGCTACTACCACCCAGAGACGCCCTGCCTCTGCAGCCCTTTACCTGGCTCAGCAAATGCCCCTCCCGGAGCCACACCCCACTCCCCCAATACATACCTGATGACTCCTCCAAACCTTTTTTCCCTCTTATCGTACCCCAGACCAATGCCTTGGTATCACCCAACACTGTGCCTGGATGGGAGGGTAGGACCCCACTTCTCAGCCAGACCAAAGCAGGTCATCTCTAGGTTCACTCCTAGTACACAGCACAGGTATTAGAGCTGCTTGTAGGGGGAGTGCGGGCGTGGCTGTAGGTACAGGACACAGCTGCCCAGCAAAACCTAGGGTGGACGTTCACTGCCCTTTGGCCCGGGATTTTGCCCCAGAACCTTGCCCCACCCTCCTTAAACCAGGCTGCAGG